CTGAACGTCTCTTCTGGGTCATCTCGTTCCCATGCAGCCTTGCGGCGTAGATAAATCCTTCGTTTCATTATTCTTGCGAATCGATGTGCACGTTGGTAACGTATCAACGAGTCATAGACATTTCGTTTGTTCTTTCGTCTTTTACCAAGTACGAAAGTGCGACTTGAATCAACACTTGATATCATTTCCGAATTAACAGTTGACATCTATAAAATTTGATACAGTCAATTTCAATACTCATTTTTTTTATTACCTTCCTGGAGCAGAGGGATGCGAGAGTCGTGGATGTGATTGACAATATTTTTTTTACCCAAAATATATAATATATATTTTTAAATCAAACATTGATCCGAAGATCGTGTTTAAAACCATTTGCTACGATACAAAATTGTAACACCCTAATCCGTCCAGGTCTGCAGCCCCTTTCGGGCTAAAGTATTGATTTGGTAATCGTGATAATTTAAAACATTTCAAACATTTTTATTTATAAATAATATTCCATACATAATTGTAGAAAATACGGAGTGTTTAATAATAATAATGCAGAAGCGACTTTTAAACATGTCTCATAACAACATAATTATTTATTTTGTTCAATGATCCACCACGACTGTCTCGCCCCTTCTGCTGCCAGGAATCAGCCAATCATTCATTCTACCTACCTGCGTGTAGCAAATAAAACACACTACATGCTCAGCGGTGAAGCTGAGTAGGCATATCTAAAGCGTCGAACATCCAAATAAATTGAATCTCAATTCATAATCAACCATTTGATATCATGCACACAATATATGATTCAAACATTCATGATATTCTCAATATTTTATTCCAAGTCATTTGATATTCAATATCTCAACCATGCTCTTAAATTATTCTTAATCTAAGGCCAAATCATTTTATAACATGCTCTTAGCTATTCCTAGTCTAAGGCAACATTTCTAACCAAGCCCTTAAACTATAAATAGTTTAATGAAGAACACAAGAATCGATAATCCACCCTATGAGTACACGTTCAGGCCCTTACCAATTATTATTAACAAAAACAATTAAAGTACACGTTCACGGAGGATTAGACCAAAGCCCTGAAGGTAAACAAAAAGTACACGTTCGGGGAGGACTAGACCGAAGCCCCGAAAGTAAAAAACAAAATAGAAAATGCAAGAAAGAAGTCAAATGAGCCAAATGTGCCCAGACCTAAAACTGGACCATCCTCGATACCTATCCTCTAGCGCCGTTATAGGGCACTGCCGACTAAAGCTCCCCGCTTCGCAACATGGAGTAGGTTACCCCTCCCCTCTTCTACACCAACTAACTCCAGTCCTTACCGTCTCAATCTGAAGCAGATTAGTTCTACTTTTCAATTCCATCCCAGACAAGAAAAAGAGATTGAAACCTAGGTCTACAAGTTGTTCATCTCTGATCATCCATTTTTTCCTTCTATTTTTCCAGCTCCAATCTCCGAGGGTTTGTAAGATGTGTGATTTCACCTTGTTGATGTTAATTGGATTGTTGTCATGGATGATTCTGTTGTATTCATTCCAAAGTTCCCAAACAATGATCCCTGGTAGAATGCTACGAAGTTGTCCTTTAAGCGATTTTCTTCTGTGGGATAAGTTCCATTCCATGATATGTTGGTTTAGGGTTAGGTAATTTCTAGATCTTGGTCCATCAACTACCTCTGCAAAGAATTTCCATAGTTTCATGCTCCAAGGGCATTGGAGGAAAACATGGTCAATGGTTTCTTCACTGTTCTTGCAGATGGGGCAGGCAGAGGCTAGTTGAAACCCCATTATTTTTAGAGCTCTCCAATGGAAGAATTTAACCTTCGGGATTCGTGCCTTATTCCAGCCGTAAGAGTAGTTGAGTTGAGTAGGATTATAGGGTCTGCATATGTTGTAAGCCTTTTTAAGTGTAAAGTCCCCATCTTCCCAGGAGATTTGGTTGTCTACCCCTGTGGTATGCTCCCTTGCAGTGGTATTGATCCTGCATATTCTCTTCCAGGTCGGAGAATCATAAAGCCTTGCCTTTCTTTGAAATCAGACCGACTAAGATATTTGGCTCTCATAAACCTAGCCCACATAGTGTTGTCAGTTTGAACTTTCCACCAAAGCTTGATAGAGTAGGCATCCTGAATATCATCAAGACTTCTCAGGCTAAGACCTCCTTCATTAGTTGGAACACAAAGGTTGATCCACTTGCTCCAATGGTATTTAGGTTTACCATTTTTGAAACCCCAAAGAAAATTAGCCATCTTTTTGTGGAGAGTGTGAATGATAGATTGAGGGATAATATGAACAGCAGTGATATGAAGAGGTATGGATGATAACACATGTTTGATCAACACAAGTCTCCCCATAGGATTAAGAGTGGTGCTATACCAAGAGTTTAGGTATTTGTCGAACTGGTTGTGCAGTTTGGAGCAATGATGTTTTCTAAGCTTGCCTTTGACCATTCTAGCACCAAGATATGTGAATGGTAGGTCCCCATGATCCATACCTAGGCTTCTGGCCATAGACCCTAATTTAGCTTGGTTTACCTTTTTTCCTTTGTAAAAGCTACTCTCGTTGAGATTAACTTGCTGCCCAGACCCTTGCTGATAGTCCTCTAGAATCCTTCTGAACTTTTTTAAGTTCCTAGTGTCCCCATTTAGAAAGATCACTAGATCATCTGCAAAGGCCAAATGGCTGATCAAGGGATGATTACCTGTGTTGAAACTGCCCAGAGAGGAGGTATTCATATGAAATTTGATCATCCTTGAAAAGCACTCACTGCTAATTAGAAATAGAAGGGGTGAAAGAGGGTCCCCTTGTTTCACCCCTCTCTTTATTTGAAAAAAGCCAGCAGGTGATCCATTAATAAGAACTGAAAGATAGGAACCCACTAGATTGGCCATAAGAAGTTTTTGGGAGTGAGAGTTGAACCCTAGTTGTCCCAGAATATTAATGAGATATCTCAAATCAACTCTATCAAAAGCTTTGGCCATATCCAATTTGATAATGCAATTGTCTCCTCTGACCTCTTTATCAATCATATGAACCATCTCTTCAGCCAAAAGAATCTGTTCCTCAACACCCTTATTCTTTTGAAATCCTGTCTGCTCCTATGATATGAATTTAGGTAGAAGGGTGGACAATCTTGTTGCCAGAATCTTGGTATTAATTTTGCTCATGAAGGATGAGAGGGATATGGGTCTGTAATCACCAAAACTTTTAGGATCTTCAATTTTAGGTATTAGTGTAATCAAAGTGCTACCAAAAGATTTGGGAACTGGAAATCCCAAGAAAACCTCCTGACAGGCAAGTAATACATCCACCTTGATAATGTTCCAGCAGGTTCTAAAGAAAAATCGGCCATTAAATCCATCCGGGCCAGCTGCACTGTCTGGGTTAAGGCTCATAATAGCTTTGTAAACATCTGCTTCATTGGGTAGAGTGGAGATCAGTTGATTGTCCCTATCATCAACCACTTTATCAAGGTAGTTTGGAATAAGTGACTCCTTTGGCTGAGAGACAGATGTGTAACAATTAGCGAAGTAGAGAATAGCCTCTTTGCTAATATCCTCCTGTGTGGTCAATATGTTGCCTTGATCATCTTGGATTGATTTGATAGAAAGTTTTCTCCTTCTGTTTTTAACAAAAGAGAAAAAATTTTGAGTTACAATCTCCTTCAGTCATCCACTTGATGTTGGCCTTTTGCTTCCAGTAGCTCACCTCTTTATTAAGACTAATAATCAGATTAGCTGAGGCTTGATGAGCAAGTGTTCTCTTGTCATCCGAAGGATCTGATTCATATTCTTCTTGAGCTCTGGCAGCTTTAAGTTCATTATCCTTGACTTCCTGAAAAATGTTACCAAAATGATTCTTGTTCCAGTGAGTCAGAATAGGTTTTAAACCCTTAAGCTTGTGAGCTAAACCAGACATGCCCCCAGTTCTAGGGTTGTTCTCCCAATAGTTACTGACCACATCCAAGAAATTATGATGATGAGTCCAGACATTAAGAAATCTGAATGGTTTGGGGCCCTGAAAACCATCAACTTTACATTGGATAAATAAAGGCTTATGATCAGAAGTAGTCTTGCTTAGATGGGTGAGATTGATATCATTGAAAGCCTCATTAGCAGATTGGTTATTGAGAACCCTGTCCAACCTTCTCCAGAGTTTCCCTTTACTTCTAGTGCCAGTCCAAGTAAAAATCCCTCCACAGAAGGGTGGGGCAGTAAGGCCACAAGCCTCAATGCAATCATTAAACTCCTCCAAGTCCTTTAGGTTAGGGTCAGAGTAACCTTTATGTTCATCCAAGGAAAGAATGGTGTTGAAATCTCCACCCACAAACCAAGGGTGGTTAATAAGACTATCCTTAATGAGATCATCCCAAAGAATTCTTCTGTTAATAGTAGAATGGCCCCCATAGACAGAAGTAATTCTGAGATTTTTATTGATTGTTGTATTCCAAAAATCTATATGAATGCACTGAGAGTCTTCTCTAAAACCTTGAAACTGAAGTGTACTGTCTTTCCAAAAAACCCACATTTTATTGTGAAGGCCACCAATAGATAAAGAGAAGCCCAAAGAGGTTTTGTAGCACTCTATTTTCTTGTCAGGAACAATGGGTTCAATGATGCAAAGAAAGTCAATAGGGTAAGAGGAATTAAGAGCTTTTAGCCTGTTAAGGGAGGAGGCTGCTCCACAAACATTCCAGAAAAGACAATTCATAATAACTTTTTATGAAGTCCTTCAAGAGACCTAGTTTTACTCCTAGTCATAATTGTCCTAGCAGCTGGAAATGGATCCTTATGAACTGCTTTAGGTATTTCAAGTTTAGGAGTATTTTTACTAGGAACGGAAATATCAAACGGTTAGAGCTCTGAATTGATCCAAATAACTGGTTCCTTCTCTCCTTCAGAGTGATAACCTGCTTCGTTGATGAAGTTCTCTTCACTTTCTCTGTCTGATTCTATACCCTCCAGTTCAATTGGTTGAACTTGATTCATATAGCTGTCATCCATGGATAAAAGAGGGAGTTTAATAGAGGGGGTACTGTGCATTATTGGGATATGACCTTCCCTTTCCTTAGTTGAGGTGTTGAGATTACTGTGATTAACCTCATCATTTTTTTTGTAGAAATAATTTAGAAGCAAAAAGCTTCGCAGAAGAAAAGGTTGGGAAGTGATCCTGGACCTTGAAGATGGAGTGTAGGTCCCAAGTGGGGGAGAGATATGAGTGGTCAGGTTCCTCCTGTAAGGGTGAGTGAGGAATAATAATTCTCTTACTCTGATCACATGATATTTCTGAGTTGACAGTTGCTGCATCAAAACCCACTTTAGTTTGGCTTGTTGTTGTTGTTGTTCCTGTACTATGGGTTCCAGATTCCTCTATACCACTATTTTGGATTTGCATATACGAACCCAAGCAAGTTTGGATTTAGTGGATGTAGCCTGGCTCCTCTTGGATGTAGCACCCAATGTCCAGCCATCCCCTAAAGAGCCCACTAAGGATGTTGCCTGGCCCCTCTTGGGAATTTCCTTTTCCAATGTCCAACAATCCCTCAAAATAACTTTAGAAGAAATAACCCCACCCTTCCAAGATTTACCCCAGGTACTGCCCTGTCCCACAGATACCTTGTGAATTTTGAGTGAGTGTGTATCATGGCCCTTCTTAGATTTAGCATCTAATATCCAGCCATCACTCCTCTTGGACCTATTCAAATTGGTATCTGTCCCCCTATGACCAGAGGCCTGTTTGTGAGAATATATATATATATATATATATATATATATATATATATATATATATATATATATATATATATATATATATATATATATATATATATATATAAAATAAAACGAAAATTTTATTGCAAAAAGGTAAAAGAAAGGTACAGGGAGGGGAGGACTAGGCCAATGCCCCTCTAGAGATGCATGAAAGTAAAACTGAATGAGAAATGAAACGAGAGATAAAACAGATGGTCATTCCCAAATTATAAAACCCGGGTGCTGATCCAAGGCGAGGTTTCTGGGCATTATTTTCTTTGGTCTTTTCCCATTTGCTCCAATTGGGCCGACGGGTCCAACGTACCAAAAGGGCCCAGAGTAACTTTTGGTAGTGACGATTTTCTCCATTGTGGTTGATTTGCGGCTAGGCCAATATCTAGTGATCTCGCTCACCGTTCCTATATATATATATATATATATATATATATATATATATATATATATATATATATATATATATATAAAGAGATTTTATTCGAAAAAGGAGAAAAGTACAAAGAGTTGGGGTGGCCTGCCCCAACAAGTGGCCCAAGAAAATTCCAAACAGATCAAAAAAGGGAAAGGGGACACGGCTACAAGTACCATTCTATAACCTCTTCTTCCTCTGGAACCTAACTTAACAGCAACATCTGCTATTGAAGAGGGCCCAACCCACAATGATTTCCTCTCCAGTAGCCAATTATTCAGCATTGAGAATCTTCAAGTGGCAGCTTCAAATCCCATACCTTAATTCCGTAGATTTCCTCCAAGCAAAGTTTAAGCATATCAGTAAAACCACCCTAAAGTGAGTAAAGTCTAAGAGAGCCAAACCCACAAAATTCTTGATTTGCCGTTCACCAAAGTCTAGGGCTACTAAACGGCCTAAACCTACCAGCCTTCAAACTCATTGTGGGACTTTGTGTCCCTAATAACTATGTGACTACTGCCACACCCCAAACACCAACAGTAGGGTGAAATTATTGCAAGAAAACCCATCCTAATCTGCATTGCCAGACAAATAATCAACAATGAGAACCAAAAAAACACCCTAGAAAGGCTAAAAAAAAAACTGAATGGAAGTGAAAATTATCCCTGGCCAAGATGTGTTCTACATTCATTCTTGAACACCACACAGTTGAGTGAGCACTACCTCCATATCCTCCTTTGCATAAGCAAGGAATACCGGATACTTTGCTCCTTGAATTATTGCTGCATCAATGAATTCGAAGCTCTTCATTGCTTTTCTAGTGACCCTGATAACTTCCCCTGAGAAACTGAGTATCTCACCCTTCTTAAGAACTTGCAAAAATCTTTTGTTTGCTACTGATCTCCGGAAGAGGTTAAGGTTGTCCCTAATGACTTGATCGAGTATCTTCAGACAATCCTGGTCAATTAGAGGTTCTGCAATCTGGAGTGTGTTTTGGAGCACCTTCCAGTTCTTGTTCCATTATAGAGTCAATAAGGAGCATATTTCCAGGACGCTTTCGATCTTCATCAACCCTTTCAGAAGTGAGCACCCAGCTGGGGCAGCATCTCCATCCTTCGTCCTTGTCATTTTTGAACTTCCTGCAATCTCCTTCATCACAGTAAGGGAGTGGCAGAGGGTCACTCTGACTACATCTCCCTTTCGAGGCCCGTAAGAGCTCAGCCAAACCCCTGCTAAAAATTTTTAATCCTTCTAAAGAGTAACCAGCGTGTAACGCCCCAAAATATACCCTAAAATTTATTGAATTAAATATTCAATTAAACAAAATTTGTTTTGATTAAAATAAATTGTTGTTGGGATTTGGGCTTGAATAAAATATATATTTATATCCAATAAACATAATCTGGATAAGTCTCATAGAGATAAATCCAATATGTGAACTATTTGTGTGGTCTTGATTGAGAACNTATGAATTAAATGAGAGAACCTTTTATGAGAAAGGTCAATTAAACCAATTTTTACTCTGTTAAAGTCAAACACCCAAAAATGTGGTGTCGGAAAAAGTATAACGAATGAATATAAAAATTATATCGTTGGATAGAGTTTAACTATCCGATCGCAAAGGTGCAAACGGAATTCAATTCGGAGAAAGTTGGACCAAAAAGTGTACCCCGACTGGAACCAAAATTGGTCCCAATCAGGGACTTGCTTTTAAAATCATTCGGAAACGCAGCCAGGCGCACTAGCCGATCAATTACATCACGAATAGCAACTTCCCTGGCCTCTTCCTTCCATTCTCTCCTATATAAGGCATGGTTAAATCCTTCATTTCTCCACCAATCTCTGTAATACTTTCTCCTATTATGCTCCTGAGAGTATGAGGAATGATCTGGTGTTGTCAATTTGGTGTGAGATCGCCGGAGTTGAGAGCTATCGTCACCGGAAGTTTCGTCGGAAAATCTTCAAAACACCCATTTAGCTTCAAGGTAAGCCCGTAGATATATCTAAAGATTAGATTGTTCATATAGGTTGTTTTTACGTTCATAAATGGTCATTTGGTTGAGTTTTGTGTTGGACATGTTTGAAGAACCAAGAATCATAAACCTTGAATTTGATGTTAAAAATATGTTTTAATGATTCTAAAATGATCTATGAACCTTGGAGAACATTTCTATATAATTTAATTGAAGTTTGGTGTTTTAAAACCATAATACTCGAAACTGACCGGAGGAAGAAGATGATGAACAATAGCCGAAAATCGATTATTTACTTACTAAAAATCGATTAGAATTTTATTCAGACCTAGTGGTTCGAAGTCAGTACCATTTAATCGATTATTTATGTTGTAAAAATTGATTATTATGAATTAATTGATTATTTATATTGTAAAAATCGATTATTATGAATTAATTTATTATTTAAATTGTAAAAATAGATTATTATGAATTAATGGATTATTTAAATTGTAAAAATCGATTTTTATGAATTAATCGATTATTTATATTGTAAAAATCGATTAAAATTAATTAATTGATTATTTAAATTGTAAAAATCGATTATTATGAATTAATGGATTATTTAAATTGTAAAAATTGATTTTTTATGAATTAATCGATTATTTATATTGTAAAAATCGATTAAAATTAATTAATTGATTATTTAAATTGTAAAAATCGATTATTATGAATTAGGGGATTATTTAAATTGTAAAAATCGATTTTTTATGAATTAATCGATTATTTATATTGTAAAAATCGATTAAAATTATATAATTGATTATTTAAATTGTAAAAATCGATTATAATGAATTAATTGATTATTTAAATTGTAAAAATCGATTATCATGAATTAATGGAGTACTTAAAATTGTATAAATCAATTTTTATAAATTAAATGATTATTTTAAATTATTTTCCTCAATTCTAGATCATGTTCTGAAAATATTATTGAAAATATGCTCTAAAATCCTATTTTTTTAATACCAATTAATTATGCACAATATAAATATGATTTTGTACAATAAAAATGATGTTTGTGACATATAAACATTATGTGATGCATGACGGTAAGTTCGAGTGTTAACACTCGAGACTAGGCCGCTGTTTGCTATTAAATATTATGTTGAATGATCATTATGATGAATAATTATTATGGCTAATTATGAATGATAAACCTACTGATTAAAATGATTATTGATGATTAAGTCATGATTAAAAATGAATTAATGGTGATTATGAAAATAATGTATATTGTTAAGGATATCTAGAAGAACTCTAAGATATACCCACTTGTATATTGATGATGATTATTAAGGATATCTAGAAGAACTCTAAGATATACCTACACGCTCAGCGGTGAACCAGACTGGATATCACCCACCCGACAAATCATTGTTCGGTTGGTACGTAATCCACATGACTCATAGGGTGGATTATCGATTCTTGTGTTCTGCATTAAACTATTTATAGTTTAAGGGCCTGGTTAGAATTACTGCCTTAGATTAAGAATAATTTAAGAGCATGGTTAGAATTACTGCCCTTAAACTATTTATAGTTTAAGGGCCTGGTTAAAATGATGTGGCCTTAGATTAAGAATAATTTAAGAGCATTATTGATATATATATTGAATATCAAATGACTTGGAATAAAATATTGAAAATATTTTGAATGTTTGAACCATATATTGTGTGCATGATATCAAATGGTTGATTATGAATTGAGATTCAATTTATGTGGATGTTCGACGTTTTAGATATGCTTACTCAGCTTCACCGCTGAGCGTGTAGTGTGTTTTATTTGCTACACGCAGGTAAATAGAAAGATTAATGTGATCCTGGCGGCAGATGGGGCGAGATATTCGGGATGGATGTGACAAGTTTTGAAATGATTTATGATATGTCAA